ATGGCTTTCCACATGATAGATGAAGAGATTAAAAAATAGATTGAGTTTAACAATGGATATTTTCAAAAGTAAACGTGTTTACCCTGCCATGCGGACATGATAAATCGACACCGTAAGCCACTAAAACCACTTTCTAATGTAAAAATAGCAATTAATCGATTTAAAAAAAATGATAATAAGGTCAACAATCCTTTATCTTTCTAACAATGTGCTTTTTATATCATTCATATGTTCAATACGATTGTTAGATACGATTTCATGCGACAAAACGTTGGATTCTTAATTTTTAGGCGCTAGTATAACTCTACTCGCTTTGCTGATCCACGAACAGCACCGAGGTTAAGGCATGCAATAAAAAAATATACAGATATAGCAGAGCTACTTTACTGCCTAGGAATCCGAACGAAATCCGAAAAAAATTGTTAGCTCAGTCGTCTCACGGTACATCTGCAAAGAAAGTAACAGTAATTTTGACAGAATGATTTTTTATATTTAATCGATTTGTACACAACGGTTCATTTTTTATAATGACCACAAACTTTTAGCATCTTGATCTCTAGTCTGGCCGACGTAAAGGATGTAATCTCACATTGCGAATACATGACGCCGAACAAAGACAACACATCTTAACAATCAATTTTTATTTATTTCGCTCTTTTTCTTTTAAAATAATTATGACGTTTCTACGGCGTTGGAAAAAATTGATGTCAAAATATAAACCATTCTTTTGAAATAGCATCTGGCTATAAAAATCAAGGACAATATGACATACAAAGTCCAATAAAACTTTCCGGTAAATATTAAATATTATATATAATGAATAAATGCCTGCAAAAAGTCAATTTTGTACTGATGCTCATTACAATATAAAAATCCAGCAAAAACATATAGCGTCAACGATCAAAAAAATTTACAAGAAAAACAACTTTACAGTGTTTTTAGGAAACTTGTTTTTAAGAAGTAGTTTGTTGCCGTAAGTTGATTTATCATTTATGGAATATTTGGCGTATAGTGGCGATGTAAGAATATTCTTATAGCTTACAACGCAACTGTTAAGCGTGGCAACTATGGCAAATATCTCCCTTGTCAAACGTTCTATGACGAGTCCTATGTTCAGCAGCTACAGGCCGTAATAAATGAATAAGAGAATTATATAAGAGAATATAATTATGAAATAAGAGAATAAGGGAGATTGTTTACATTCTCTCCAATGGCTTAAAAACCTTGTATTCATTGCTAGCATTAGGGTAAGAAGCAGTTTAATCGTTGGTTATTTTATCATTTCTCTTGAAAACCTTGTTATGTAATCAATCTGACAATGACATTTTTATTTGACTTGGCTTTATTTGACATGTAATCTATTTGACTTCCAATCTATTTGGCATGTTTTTTTTTGTATTTATTTGATCTATTGGACATGTATTCTTTAATTTATTTGACCTTTTGACATGTATCTTATATTATTACTATAATTTCAATCTGTAATTTGTAAATTAGCATGCTGACGTTTTGGGCATACCTAGTGTAAGCCAGCATGTACACTGTTTTTAAAATATAAATAAATCAAAGTTTTTGGAAATAATGGCGTGTCTGCATACATATTTGTTTGATGAAATAAGCTTACTCCTTATGGTTTCACACATGATCTCGTTTTCTATTGTAAGACATATGATCTTATTTTACCAATTTTGCGGAAGTTAATGTAATAAAAGAAACACTAAACTTAAACGTGTTTTTGTGGTCATGCAATTAATAAAAAATTTAGAGAAATTCATTTTAGATCACGAATGCCTATTTCGACTGGTTATTGCCTGTTTTACATGTCTAATGCTCGTTACAAATTATTGAAAGACTAAAAATAATGTTAAAGATTTCACCCGGATTTTCGTGGTTTTCGGTGGTTATAATATTAAATTTTACTTTGCCACCCAAAAAAATACTGTAATGCATGTGTCATAAGAGAAGAGTGTGGTTTGCAAGATGATGTTGTGACCAGGATTAAGAAAGGAATGCTTCGGTGGTTTGGTCATGTGAAAAGAATAAATGAGGGATCAGAATGACAAAGAAAATTTATGTTGCAGAAGTGAATGGCAGAGTCGGAAAGGGACGTCCTAGGCAAAAATTTATCGACCAAATTGGCGATTTATTGAAAACGGGCCAAATTAGGAGTACCCTTAACCGACGAGGGTGTATGCGTAGGTGTATGGATGTGAAGGAGACGAGAGAGGTGTGTCAGGATTGTGCCAAATGGAAGTCTGTAGTCTCTGCCTACCCCTCTGGGCGACAGGCGTAAGTGTTTATGTTTATGTATGCACTGTAATGCATTGACTTTCATTATTTCGTTATTGATTTATTGATTTTCATTATTTTAGAATTATCATGTATGCGTTAAGACACAAAAAGATTAAAACCCACGATGTCATATACTGCACCTCTGTTAAATGCAGGCATTCTTCGTTTCTAAGGTGACTCAATGCGTGACTCAAGCAGGAATCAAATTACAAAAAAGAGCAAACGTATTACGTGGAACTAAACTCTCACGCCTACGTTCCAAATTTCTCGGTGACTATTGCAACTAAAAGTTAAGAATGTCTTAACTTTAGCCTTAATAAAGTTGCAAAAGTCAAATTTATTTAGGTTAATACTTAAGAAATTTAGCATTGATTTCTCAAAGTTTATCAGATATCGTACTAAAGAGAACAGCTGCAATTTTTGTTTAAGAACTGTACTATTATGCACATGAACGCAATATTTCAGTATACGGTGACCGAGAGAAGATAGAGAGAAAGAAATCTATCACCCCATTTCGTCCCGGGGCGTGGATGTGTGTCGTAAGAGGTCACTGTGAGAAATATCAGAAAGATCTTATGGTTTCCGATATACATATATAACTATTACGTTGACGTCAGACGTAAAATCTCAAACCAGCTACAGAGAGCAGCGTCAAAGATGCGTGACTCTGGCACTGCGAATGTTAAGCCGCCTCACAAGCGTGACGATAAATTACCTTGTTGCATCGGTCTTCTACCACAGATTAGTAAATAGTTTACCAACTTCTACGCCGTGAGATGGTAGCTTAAGACTATGCACCTATTCGCCCCTTTGATCTTGTAAGTCCTGCAGTAAAATACCCGGAACGGCAACGAGTAGCGCTAAAGATACGATAAATCTGGTATTGCGATGGCCAATAAGCCTGCCTATGAGCTTGGCGATTACGGTAATTCCTGCCTAACACGGGAGAAGCTCACTAATAGAAGTGGATCCTTTATGACTTTATGAAGATGGATCCGTTCCTTTTTTAAATAATTGACTTCTTATGCATTGAAAAAAATCAATTTATTTTAATGATCTCTTGTTAAAAACTGATAGTACAAAGAGCATTCAATAATAATTTAGACAGTTAAATAATAGAATACTTTTGTACATTTTTGATTTAATGAAACTGGTATTTACGATAAGTACTGCTTAATCTTAAATTTCGCAACAGTGCAATGCAGAAAACAATGGAATTAAAAAAATTGCGGCAGTGTCGTCAAATACGAGTACAATGGAAGCTGAAAATGTGTTTGGGTAAATAAATCAGAATTTTCTTACCTCAAAATACAACACTGGGTTGCATATGGTTATGCCATAAATAGCATAGCTCTTCTCCAAGTCGTTGACGACATATGTTTTGGGTGCCAATAATAAGCTTTTGGCCGCCACCTGCGTCCTTCCCGCTCGCACGCGACTTAACATCTGTTACGTCAAACGTGTTTGGCTTACGTTTGTTAGCACTTAGTTTATTTTCACTTCGAAACTTTCCTGTAATTGATTGACTAAATTGGCTAATTTGTTAGAACTTTGATGAATAATTAAACGATTATCCACATTTTTATAGTTGTCATTATGTGCCGTATTATCAATTAGTGTCTAATTTGGATTCGTAGTTGATGATTTCAAGGACTTGTTTCGTTAATTTTCAAATGGTAGACTATCATTGAATTCAAATTAAAAGCTTGGCAATTCATATGATGATCTCACCGGTCGTCAATCTTGACAATCCAAAGGACCGGGCGCAGCGGGGTGGGGCATGAGACGGGACGGGTACTCCGCAGGGTTCGCGCGATTCACGCACGCTGCATGCCTTAGTCAGTACGACAGCGAAGTTGTCAGCTACACGCGCGGCGCGCGCGCCTCTAGTTATTACTTTAGCTAATATTTCTGCTGTTTTATCGGCTGCCCACGATGTAGTATAGTGTTATTGAAATGCTTAAATAGTTACCGCGCTAATCACCCAAAAGTGGATAGGTTCTGTGATCGTTGCAAACCACGGTCCAAAGAACAATGCTGTGGGAAAAAATAACGTTCAGCTGGCATCGGCAGTCGTTCCCAGCTACCTACCTAACCCCTCTCCCCCCGCTAGCCCGGTGCCGGGTTCAATGCGCCTCTCCGCGTTTATTCATCGTTTGTGGGAAAAGTTGACCCCCGTTCTAAAAATTATTGTTAACGAATTCACACGAATAGTGTGTGACTACCGCATCTTAAACAGGAACTTGAAAGTTTCGCGCGTGAGATAAAATCGTAATCAGATTCCTACCTTTCCAATTTCATCGTAACCGTTTTTTTAACACGTGAAAAAATACGACAAAATTAAATATATATATAATTAAAAAGATATAAAGATAAAACGTGTTTAGTTTTTTATGCGCAAGTCGCCAAGATTGCAGCATTCCAAGGACCGATATTGTTTATTTTAAGCTTTGCCATGTTTGTCGAGTTTCAACTTCGTCGAAATTACTATCTTATTGTGTTACGGATAGAGTGTTTATATCGCAAGAGGACACAGCTTTAGGCAATGTGAGGTAACATTGTAGAATGATGAATAAATTGTGAAGTGACCGTTAAAGTTTGCTTTTTAGTGATGTGCAATGATATCGTTCGTTAGATACTGTGAAGGTGCTGTGTCGTAGTGAGTGACGTCATATTAATTGTAAAGCAGTTTTGGGACTTCTTCAAATATGGGGAATCAAGGATCATCGCCCCACGAACCTCTAGACCGTGCTCAGGCGCAGAATGCTGACCTCAAAATGGTTCGGTCTTTTTTATTTAACTTGTTAATTTATAATCGATAATTCAGAACATACATTGCTTCATCAAGCGGCTGCGCCTATATCTAACTGATTGTTATAAACTAGCTCATGGCCACTTCTTCAAATGGAATTCTTGTTTCAATTCCTTTTTACATATCCGAATAGAACATGTAGAATCCTCTATGTAAGATGTCAAATATTTAAATTAAAAACTTGTGGACAGTAACTTTGATATCTAGACAAACTACGAACGAGTCTGATATGTAGTAATTATATCATGTTATGGTAGGTGGTCCTAAATAGTTTTACATACTGATCGTAAAAAAAAGTCATTCCATAATTCAGTTTGGAGTATTTGATATCGTTTCTTTGTAAAACGACTGTTTATTTTTATACTTATGATACGGATCTATTACTTATATAATCTAAACTACTGCATGTTGCAACTAAACTTGTGCATATATTTTTAAAGTAGAAGTTAGAAAATTCCTTAGCAAAAACGACTAACGTAGGAACCGATTTAGGTTAAGCCTCAATGAGTTTGCATTACAGCAAGAAATTTATTTCTCATGAACTGTATGAGTGTCAATTCGAGACAAAATATTTATGTAAAGCTCAGGCTAAAGAAAAATCTGAGTTGTAAGAAATTCACAAAATATACAACCGTAAAAGAGAAGTAAAATATTCATGGATTAAAATAAATAAATACATATTTTAAAAGTTTAAGTGCGGAGGGGAGGTTACAAGTATGTATTAAGTAGGTACGTAAGTACATACTCGTATAATTTGTAATCATATAAAAACTGCTATACCTACCCACTTTACATCTGTCATCGTGTTTGTGACGCACAATTCTTAAATTCACTAATGGTCACGTATTTGTAATAATAATTAAAATGTTTAGATTAGAGTCAGGCTTATTTCCATATAAATTCATAAAAGTGAGTTTCAAATTGCATTGATTGACACATCTACCCAGAAATGTTTTATTGTTTGTTAATAAGAATCTGATTCAGCGCTTAAAATTGCAATTAACGATTTCATTGCTGCCGGCGGGGATCATAATTCATAACCGTCTTGTTTGTTTTATATAATAACTCAATGACTGCTATTGTGAAATTACGGCGAACGTTTAGTCCCTGAGCTACCCCGGCTCGGCGATTTACCACGTGCTCGATGGCAAAGGAAACATCTGTGCATGTTTGAGTCTGAGAAAATATTCGAGAGCATGTGAAGTACGCCAACACGCACTGGAGCAGCGCTGCGGATTATTTTTTTTTAAATTATTGATTTAACTAAGAACTCTAGAATGGACCAATTTTCGAAACCCTTTTCCTGTCCGCCTCAGACACCTCTTCAACAGCTTACTCGAACCGCTACTAGCGCAACTTCCGGTGATGAAAATTGAATCCCTTTCAGATGATTTATATTTTAAGGAATAAAAAGAAGTCGCACGATGCTAAAACTGTCAGATGACCCAAAAATGTTAACCGGTGTGTTCCAGGAATTATCTCGTTTTGAGCACTGGGTGTTGAAGCAGTAGCGGTGGAGTTACGTGTTCAGTCACTTGTTGCTCACAGTAGTGATCACTTACGACAAGCATATATACCATTCGACATTGATGCTACTTTGATTTCGTGAAGGTATTGACGCTAGACACCCCGGCAAAGTGAAAAACTAGCAGTTAAAATCTTCCTGTGCTTCTTGATGCCTTCACTTTGGTAGGCTTTCGTTCAGTTTGAAACTGTTAACTGGCGCCTCATTGTGAATCGTTATAGTAAATCAAAGATTCATCACTTGTAATATTACCGTAAATGTACCAAGATGAACCTGCTTCAAATTTAGTAATTATGTCACGGTGCCATTCTCCCCGGGACTTTTTCTGAGCATCGGTGAGGTCGAATGGCACCCAAAACGGAACTATCATCCTCACGCAAGGTGATCGTGTAACGTTTCGTAAATGCCTCTCGAACCAGTTTGCAATATATACTGAATCTGATCATACGTAATTTGCCTATTCTCTCCAATTAAACTTTTCACTCCTAGCACGTTCCCTTCAGTATGAGCCATCAAACATCAAAAGGTCACATATTTCTTTATCTCTCAAAGTTAGTCGACCGTGCAGCAAATTGTTATATCATTATACTAGCTGTGCACTGATACCTTAGTAAGCCCTTAAGCCATAAAAATGTTATTGGAAGTCTAACAAAAGATTCATCTCGATTTTTGTCGATATTTTAAGTTAGCCCGTAAAATGTGGAGAGTACCTAATTTGAAATTAGAACATTGATTTTTTAATCGTATTTTAAAAATAAGTAAGAACTGGCCAGTGTATCTTAAAAAAATTCGCTAATCTTCTGTGTGGCCTGTCTCTAGTGGTATCAGTTGTTTTATGGTTTTTAATGTTGTGAAGTTGTCCATAAATTATAACAAGAAATGAAAACCAAATTTATGAAATAAGAAACAGTTTTCAACATAATATTAATTTGATCGTGTATGATATAGATTTTTAACAGAGCCTATACGTACGCCTTAGATACCAAAGGAAGCCTTTCAAATGTAGAAAGTGGATAGAAATAATCCCCGATCGCCTTTTTGTTTGCAAGGCAGACATTAAGCTTAAGCTTAAATGTAATTCGTACGGTATTACAAAACGTTTAATTCCTAGATAGGTGTAACGTGGTAACATCAAAAAATTCACGCAACTAATTTCCAAGCAGGAAAACGAGGCATTTTATCGTGACACAATACTGCTTATATCACACATTATAAATAATATCTTATCAAAGGTACCTAATTTCCGCCAGGTTATCTTCCGTGCTTGCCTGTGTATAGGACGTCATTATAAAATGTAATATTAATCCACTCTTTGTCGACCCGTGAAATTTCTCTGAACAGAGGCCTGTACCGTTGTACGAGTAAGTAGGATTTGCCTTAATCGCCACGCTTTTTCTATAGCATTGGGTGACAAACGAGCACACAGTCGACCTGATGGTAAGTGAATGCTGTGGCCCATAGACATCTACATTTATTCTCAATTAGGAATCAAAATGCAAATGCGTTGTCACCTCTGAGGAAGAAGACAGGAAAAAGTAAGTATGGTGAGTGTGGAGAACCAGAGACCCTTTTTACTGGATGAATAGAGGCATTCCATCTTAGTCTTTAGAGGTGGCAGCCCATCTGCATTTTGATTCTTAATTGAGGGTAAATGTAGATGTCTATGAGCCACAGCATCCACTTACCATCAGGTGGACTGTATACTTATTTGTCACCCAATTCTACAAAAAAAAAGAAGTCTTTAAAAATGTATGTATTTGTTTACTAAGTGCTGAAGATTTTTGTACTTCACGTCCGGGTTGTTATCATTTTATTACCCTCATACACAGTGTACTGCACCAACTGCAGTTTTCCGTTTTGAAAGGAATTAGAGCTATTTCATCATAGCCGTAGCGGTGGCTACGCCACGCGCCTCGGATGGCTGTGCCCTTGTTTAATTGAAGTCGATTGAAAAACTATTTCCATTGACGAGTAGTAAGAGAATCTTTTAGGATTTCAATCCGATAAATCATTACGTCTGTCACGAGTTTTTATTTAACGTACGAAAGCGCATTAAAAAAATCTTTCGCCTTTAACGATTTGTACATTTGTCAGAGATAAAAATATAATAGATGTTTGAGTAGATTTTATTACATTTCGAAAAATTATTAAAAATCAAACCTAAAAATTCGTGTTTCAGTCTCATCATCAGTAAATTGCTGGAGTAACCTGACTAAAATCAAGTTGCTATTGAAGATTTATTTAATATTTTACCTTGCGCATTATATTCCAGTAAAACTCAACAGGATTGCCATTTTATGAAGTATAAGTACTCAAAACGGCAAACCGCATAAAGTATCTTTAATTAATTCTAGCGCTTTAACACTTAAATTAATATTGTATTTAACTTGCAATAAATTGTAACTTACGTATCATAATCTAAATAAAAATGTGACATGGGCACATAGGTATATACAAAACGCAAGATAATTAAAGTTAAAAAATTGTAAAACATTACAAATAAATGTAGTTAAAGGAATTCTTGTTGGTACTTAGAAAGCTGTATGTAATTATGATAAAAACAATTGCACTAATTTCTATGGTCGACTATTTCACATTATAAAACTAGTTGGTATTCTTTAGACTCTAAAATTCTAAAGTTTCTCTAAAGTTTAGAGCATATTTTTATAAAAGAGATGCGCTGTACTACTAGTCATGAGAAGCTTGAGCGAATTTAATGAAACCTTTCAATTTTATAAGATACGAATAGAAAGTACCTAATCGATTAAGTTATAGACTATATACGTCCCACTCCTGGACACACGCTTCCGCTAATTTCTGAGAGGGTCTTAATCACAGAAATCATAATAATAAGACAATAGAAGTCGCATAGACGCCTGACCTTGTCGCCGCTATTAAGTTGACGAACATAATTCACTATTTTGTGATTTATTTGTGCGGGGAACGTCATACGTGAATTTATGTTATTATAATGGTGAACTGCAGCACAATAGTAAAAAAAGTAGTAAAAACTCATCAAGGACGTGTAATTTAATGTGAAACATTAGATATCATTGTGCATTGCATATGTTTATATTACGGCTGTAGGTGGCGATTGGCGACATCGGTTTTGGAAGTAAGCAAGCGCTAATTCATTTCTATTGTCTTATTATTACTGTTTCTGTGGTCTTAATCGATTAAATGAAACTGTTTCACAGCTGTTATCACGTTTTATTTCATATTTTAAACGTAACGCAAAAAATTAGTTTAATTAAATATGCAGTATTCGAATTATAATATATTTGGAATCTACATAGACTTTTTTAGTTTATATTTGTTTTAAACGATTATTATATGTGCCCGTATGAGACCTAAAAAGTCAAAAACTTAAAAATATTTTTTTATTAAAAATGGCCTCTTTAAAGCACTTATTTGTAAATATGAACATCAAACATATATATATATATATATATATATATATATATATATATATATATATATATATATATATATTATAAATATTAATATACACAGATTCGTACATAAATAATAATAATGATATTTATTGCCACACAACAATAGGTTTACAAATGAAAACAAAGTAAGTATACACATTAACATAAGTATAGACTTAAAAAAAATGAATATTTACAGGCTCAGTATTCGCCGGGCATTATACTCAGCACTGGTTTTCAGCCAGTCCCTGCTGTTTTGGGCATATCGTACTTAATTATGTATTAGTGGTAACCCTCATTACAGTTTATATGTGTTAAATAAAAAGGCATTAAATAAAAATATTATCATACAATAAACAAGATTCGGCCTAAAAAAACTTTTGTTTATGAAATAAATCCTTTTTAACCTTTTTTTTAAATGTTGCAGTTGTAATATTAAAATGTTCTTTGGCCGTTCTTGTTCTTCGCGGCCGAATATTTAAAATATCCTTTGAAGTTCTTTGTCGTATGTCATGGAATATTCAGCATGTTTGAGGCTCTTTTACGTGTATTTACTTCATGGGAATTCTTACTCCAGTCTAATTTATTATATAAATAAAGTATACTTTTGTTACTAATAATTTTGCGAACTAAGCAAATCAAGTGGAGTTTCCAATGTGCGTCCATTTTTAAAATATTGTTTTCATTAAGATATGGCGTAATATAGGCTCTCTTTGGGACATTAAAGCAAAATACATGCGTTTTGAACGCGTTGAATTGCCTTTTTTGTTTTTTCATACAGTGATAATACTATCGACTCAACTAAGATCTTCCTGATCGTTACTGTTAAATATTTTCTTATGCTATATATACCTTTAAACGATAAAATGCATTACGTATATATATTATACTAATACCAAAACGAATTGTGATGCACCAGTTGAAATATTAATTTATTTCACCTCACAACCACACAAACCACAACCACACAAATATGAAGAAGTTTGGCATTAATATAATCAATATTAAATACTCTATCCTCTAGGGGTCTAGGGCAATAAAAAACTGTTATTCTATGAATATTTATTTATAATCTACGTTTATTTCGTACGCCATTTTCGCGTGAATGTTATTGTGTTGATTTTTGGATTTTTCTAGTGTTTGATTAGTGTTTTAGTATAGTGTTTCAAACCACAACCACACAAATATGAAGAAGTTTGGCATTATATAATCAATATTAAATACTCTATCCTCTAGGGGTCTAGGACAATAAAAAAACTGTTATTCTATGAATATTTATTTATAATCTACGTTTATTTCGTAAGCCATTTTCGGGTGAATGTTATTGTGTTGATTTTTGGATTTTTGTTTGATTAGTGTTTTAGTATAGTGTTTTATTATAAAATTGCAATTAAAGATTTTGTGTGAATATAATTTATCTTTTTACGTAAATAATTTCGAGTAATATATATTGAAATAATCGTGATTTTCACGCTGCCTACACTCGCTTGGTATGTTTTTTTGTTATCAAATTACAATAAAATCTTTTTGTAATAAAGTGAAACCTGACTTTTGTTTAGACCACAAGATAGAGAATTTTGTATAGATTTTATAAGGCTTCGTAGAAAAACTTTAATAAATTTAAAACTTTAAACTTCTTCATAGAAAAGTAGTCTCTAAATATAAGTTTTAATGGTTTTAAGTGCTGTGGGAGGTGGGGTCGCATGCGACCGCTCGGGATTTGCCGGGGACATGCGACTGCATGGAATTTTTATGGCGCTTGAAGGGTTAAAAGGTCTCCCGAGTTTTGTATGTCTCCTGTAGTACATATATATTACTTGTGTTAGGTACATATAAAGAAATATTATAGTAAATGTACTCTTATTGTTTCGATATTCCAGCATAAAGGTGGTGGTCGTGCTACGGTATTAGGTATACGGTTTTGGCCCGACCAAGTGAGATTTATACGTGGGTGTACCACGTTGCAGCTTTATTATAGTTGTAGCACATTCGGGTCGGCTCGATCGGGGTAGGACCACGCTCTCACAGAATATCAGCGTGAAATGGTAGCTTAATGCTGCTGTATTTCGTATGGTGAGTGTAGAGAACCGGAGACCCTTTTTACATTAACTTATATATTACAAGCGTAAGGACCGGGCCGACCGTACAACTAAAACGGACCGTTGGCCCAAAATTACAGAACCGAATCGGTCGACAGTGGTACGCGCGCAGGACAGATTTGTCTGTCACAAATATGTCTAGTTGCATGGTGAAATAATGCAAAAATTACGATACAAAGATAAAAAAAACGTGGGATATCGTATCATCGGTAAATAACCTTATATAAATTTTTTTACAATTAAATTATTATATAAACACATTTTTATTTCGTTTTAAGTTTAGTTTTAAGTTTTATTTCGCAGTTAGTTTAGTTACCTACGTTAGCAATATTAGGCCAGGGTTGGATTCAGACCCTCAAAAATATTGTACATGGCAAATAAAATTATACTATTTAAAAAAATTATATCACGTTTGACATTTCATGTTTCTTTTTTCCAATGTGCCGGGATTTTGGCGTCGCGCGTCTAGTTTATCTATACGTTTCGTTTTTTGACGGTTTTATTTTTATTTCTGTTTAATTTTTGTCTAAAGAATTTAGTGTACGTTAAATTTTGAATATTGGTAGCTAATATATTTTATATTCAATAAGTTTAAAACGAAAAGAGGATCGATCGAGCATCGATAGACCAGAAAGGGAACTAATTCTAATTTTATTAAAAAAACGCGGTACTCATGTACAATACAGAAATTCTCGATATCGTAGGGTAATATTAAAATGTAAAAGAAACCAATAAATTATTATTTTAACCAATACATAATTTTACCTAAAGGTCGACTTGTATTAACAAGTCGACCTTTAGGTAAAATTATGGTATTTTCACTTAGTATTATTACGATACTATGTACTACAAATTATGAAATAATATAATAAAAAAATAATGTACAATAAAGATAATTATACTACGAAATCCGACCCTGGTTACGTCGTGTTTTTTGACGTTTGTATTATGATAGATGCGCTACTTTTTCTTGTATGAAAAAGCTATGAGTAAAATATTTAGATGGGCCTGTCCTTCCTTTTGAAATCATTGCTTTACTGGAAATGAGGCATTCCATCTAAGTCCTCACGGGTGACAACGCATCTGCATTTTGATTCTTAATTGAGGATGAATGTGTATGTCTGGGCCGCAGCATCCACTTATCATCAGGTGGACTGTGTGCTCGTATGTCGCCCTCATTCAATAAAAGATATATTAGGGTATTGAGATCAACCATAATATGTTAATTATGATATTTGACACGTTACAGAAGTCGTCGGTGCGCAGTTCGTTGCGGCGGGCGCGCGCGGGCGCGGCGCTGTCGCCGCCGCGGGCCGGCATGGAGCGGCTGCGGCGCTCGTTCCGGGAATCGTTCCGGCGTCGAAAGGGCTCACCCCCGGAGTCGGCCCGCCCTCACCAGTGGCACGCCGACGAAGCGGCCGTGCGCGCCGGAACATGTACCTTTCCCGTGAAATACCTCGGCTGCGTCGAAGTGTTCGAATCGCGTGGGATGCAAGTCTGCGAGGAGGCGATAAAAGTTCTCAGGGTGAGTAGTTTCACTCATTTTAAATAACTATTCGTTCGATGAGAGAACTATGTTTATATACATTGTGTGAACTGATTCTAAATAATACGTCTATTTATTCAATACTACTTTTTTTAAATGAAACTATCCAGAATTGCTTTCGGCAAAGTTATTAGGCGGTCTGTTCTCAAAGGTCGTTGTGAGACCCACCTATTAGCTAGTTCTCAATAATTCAGCCCGTATGTGAAACTTGCGCTCACAGAACACTTCAACAGAAAATTAACGTTAAATATTTTGTACCTACATCTATGAGAGAAAACAGTGATTATTAATGAGGTGCGTATTTGTATTGTGGAGGAATCGGCTGATTTGATTCAGTGTCAATCTCAAATGCACAATTTACGCTGATATGAATTTGGCGAATGTTTTGCGAGCCAGGTTGAGTGCTACGTTGAAATGGGATAATGATGATCCTAACACCGCAAGGATGCTCCCCTGTCCAAAACTAGTATCACCGTCCTACCCGGGCCTGTTCAATCAGATAAAAAAGCTCTCTTTTCCTACCAATATGAATATTGCTTATTAATACCGTGTGCACAAGATCAAAAGAACTTGAATATGTATATCGGCCCTTTTAAAGATAATATATATGATCAAATAAATATATATTATAATAATGAGTGTTTTAGTTTAATATTTAAGAGTATAAGACGAACGAACATTGTAAGCGAACGAGATCTTATCTGTTACCGTCTTACTAAAGTACCAGTTTCGGAACCCTTACAATCTAAAAAAAATATTCCCGTCCAGGTGCCTTTTGACGCTTTTAAAAATAAACGCATGTAACGTCCGGTAACTTCTCCCGATATGGATTCCCTAGTTTTAGACTGTTCTCTTCTCTGTAATGTTTTTATAAGAGTCAAACTTACATCCGCTTTCAAAAAACTGCAAGGTATTGTTGTTTTTGTTTATATCTATCTTTGTTCTCAGCGCGTTTCATGTTAAGACATCCATTATTTCCGTAATGTCGCTTTCACCGCCGTAAGTTAGATTGATCAAAATTGCCATGGAATATATACGAACTGCGACTAAAAACCCGAAAGTATATGAACAATGGCTAACACACCCGGAAGTATTTTTTAATAATTGTTCTTAGATGTGTTTCAGACAGAAGTTCAACCGCAGCAACTTTTAATGGGTGCAAGCAGAATAAGTTATCTGTGCAATAAGCGCACGGTCTTATCCTTATCTGCTATATACTGTATGTAAGTTTGCGACCGTCTGTTTGCTTAGGTTAGCGTTCAATACAAATTTAAATATAGCGGTCACACTACGCGAATACTACCGTTTCAGTTTGAAACAATTATTCTTTTATTGTTCTTCTCGGATATAAGCAATACCAACGAAGTTTCGGATTTAATATTAGGTAAAAAATAAAGGCATTTTTCTAATAACGTTTCTAATAATGAAATGAGCCGTGGTAGCTCAGATGGTTAACGCTCGCTGTAAATATAACAGAACGCGAGTAACCCGGGTTCGATCCTCGTCGGCACCAATAAAATTGTTAATTGCAATTTTAAGTGCTGATTTACCACGTGCTCGGCGGTGAAGGAAAACATCGTGAGGAAACCTGCACGTCCGAGGAATAAGAAAAAAATATTTTTCGAAGACTCGTGAAGTTCGCCAACACGCATTGGGGCGTGCCAAAAGCCTCTCAGAAATGAGGGGAGGCCTGTGCCCAGCAGTGGGACGTATATAGGCTGTAACTTACAACATACTATATGCACACTGGACTCGGCGAAGAGCGCCTAGTACGGACACTACATGACACACTCACTTGCGATGTGGCTAATATAAGGCAGGGACTGTAAGCCGTAACGGACGGGATCTTTCCTAGCCAACAGTCGTAGCAGTGATTAACTTCATTCTGTTAGTCCATAATAGTTCAGAAATAAGCTTCTGAGCGAGACAGAAAATATTCTCCTCGGAGACAAGCCGGGAGAGAGGGATGCGCCTCGTCACGATCCTTCTGTTACTGTTACTGATCACCTTCTATCACAAACGGGCCCATTGGGTCGCATGCAATCGGCTTGAATGCCCTTTTAATGAAGTGGTTTGAAGTAGGACAATGTTTCAACGTGGTCTTAAAACCTCATAACATTCTAGATCCCCGCGAAGGGCTGAATTAACAGATTACCGGCAGATGCCGCGTGGTCGTTTTCCATACGAAAATCCAGTAATCCTCGACGCTTAGGGAAACCGTCGTGAAATTTTAATCAGTTGCAGTCAGACATGACCTTTTTATCGTGGGGAAATCCTCATGTATACCTCGCGCTGCGAGGAAAACGGAAAGCTAATGCCGGACTCCTGGAGTGCTAAAATCCCCATGATGTCGCTAGAACACCCTCAGCGTAAAAGATACCCATGAGGGATTCTCCGCGTAAAATATCAACATCTTATCAATTACAGTAAAAAGTTATAAATTCCATTTTTGCACAAAAATAATATAGCGTATCAATTGTTTAATTAGGCGTTAATTGTAATTAATTTATAACATTGCGTTTGCTAAAGTAACATAATCGCTATATTAAGATAAATTTCACGGCCATTGTTTTAAAAATAGGTCCGTGTAATGTAAATAAAATTCTTCTAGTTTTACCCAGTAACCTGTGCCAACTGTCACGGAATGTTTTCCTTATGTTTTTTTTTTTAGTTTTATAAACACCTAACTAAATTTATTTATTACGTCAATCTATACACGTTCAACATCTGGGTAAAACTAACAACTATTAGTTAAATGTGCTATCACACCGAGAAAGTTATTATATAGACATGGAACGAGTAGTGATCCGCCGAGTACTCGGCCACCGAATATTCGGCCTATATTGGGCCGAGTACTTGGCCGAATAAACGCGGTAGCGGGCAGCGCGCGCTTTTTCCTTTATACACAGAGTTACGGATGAAACGATACGAGTAAATACAAAACCGAAAAACTAGTGTTTTTGCATCACAAATTTTAAATCTCTTAAATTTTAAATATTAGTAATAATAATTCGATTATAGATTCTTATGTACTTTCTCAATATTTCTGCTGTTTTTCATGTTCCGGATGTTAATGTGTACAGCTGCCACAGTTGTTCTGACCTTTTCGACGACCCTTTATCATGTCCTATTGAAAATCCTTCAAAAAACCCATTCGCAAAAAAAATTGTGGATCACTCATGGGCAAAAAACTATCCTATCTCTCAAGTTGGGCCAAACTGCACATGGTGTGCAAATTTGATTAAAATCGGTTAAGTAGTTTAGGAGTCTATCGCGGACAAACAACGTGACACGTAATTTATATATATTATGATAATATAACAATAATGATAAAAGCTGGCATTTTGTCTTTATTTTTCTCTGAAGTATAATTAAGGCCGAGTACTCGATACTCGGCCGAACCCCAAAGAAAGGCCGAATCCGCCGAGTACCGAATCCAAACCGAGTACTCTTCCCATCTCTATTATGATATTTATACTATTTTATTATTTAATTAAATAAATAATTTTAAAAGGCTTTTAAAAAGTTACGTTCCACCCCTGGACATAATTATTTTTTGTGATTTACATTAGACATTTTACTAGATACGCGTAAATCAGCACTAAAAGTGACAGTCAGCAATTATTTTCGTTATTTCAACAGTAAGGATCAAGATCAGGTTGCTTGTGCATGATTACTATATAAGAGTAACGTGAGCCCATTAGTACGTATGTTGTAACTCAATTTATATATTATTATATATAATTTCAGAACTCAAGGCGAAGGCCAATCCGCGCGGTGCTCCACGTGAGTGGCGACGGACTGCGTGTTGTGGAGGAAGAGACCAAGGGACTCATCGTCGATCAGACTATTGAGAAGGTTTCCTTCTGTGCGCCCGACAGAAACCACGAGCGAGGATTTAGGTGAGGATTATTTGACAATTATATTTTGAACATTTCCTGATCCCAATAATTTTGTGTTGGTTGCAGAAGGGTTGTATAAAAATATAGGTTAAGTTCATATTATATATATAATCTTTATTGCCTTATAGTAACTAATTTCTAAGTGGATTTACCCGACCAGCCCCAGCAATAGTTTCTAAGTGAATTTACCCGACCAGCCCCAGCAAGAGTTTTCGGGTGTTTGTATTTGTGTTTGTCGGTTCCTTTGTGAATATAGTCAAGCCGGCTTGATGGATTTCGAAGTTCGACGGGTCGTTAAAATAGTTTTGATCTCCCAGAGTGTTAACTATTTTTTTGTTAATACTATATGTACCACCCTCTTAAAACAATAAACATGTTACTCACTTGAAACACATTCTTACAAACATATTTTATTTAGACCCCTTTTTACTGGTACATACTAACGAGGTAATACTATCTCAGTCCTCAAGGTTGACAACGCATCTGCATTTTGATTCATAAATCATCATCATAAACACTCACGCCTGTCACCCAGAGGGGTAGGCAGAGACTACGAACTTCCATTTGGCACGATCCTGACATTCCTCTTTCGCCTCCTTTACATCCATATATCTACGCATACATGCTCGTCGGTTAAGGGTACTTTTAACGTGGCCCATTTTCAAAATATCGCCAATTTGGGCGATAAACTTTTTTCTAGGGCGTCCCTTCCCAACTCTGCCGTTCACATCTGCCATATAAATTTGCTTTGTCACTCTTTCCTCATTCATTCTTTCTACATGACCAAACCACCGAAGCATTCCTTTCTTAATCCTGGTCACAACATCATCTTGCATACCACATTTATCTCTTATCACGCAATTTCTCATCCTGTCATTCAGATTCAACCCTAGCATAATCCTTAAAGACCGCATTTCTACAGCATTTATTCTACTTTCGTGCTTCTTCTGCCACACCCAGCTTTCACTACCATACATTAAAGTAGGGACTAACACAGCATTATGAATTACCATACGTGCCTTTTTTGATACATTCTGGTTCTTCACAATAGAGTGTAATGCCCCATTCACTCTATTCCCTGCATTTTGATTCCTAATCGAGAATAGATTATGGTGTCCATTTGGCACAACATTCACTTACTAAAAGGTGGACTGTGTGCTCACTTGTCTCTCCCACTTCTATAAAAATAAATGGTTAACTTTAAAGTTGACAGTTACCACAGTGTAAAGAGCTTTTTAAACTGTGCTATTGCAGTGGGGTGTTGTGTTTTAAATAATTATTTAACTGTTATTGAATTTATTGTTCTAATGTTAGTCTTAATAGACGCATATTATATGTTTAACTATATTATATTGGTTTGATAATGGCATAATATGAAGAAAAGCTAAAAAACAGTTCGACATTCCATGCGTTACACATAAGAAATCATTAGAGTATTTGCAAAATACTAACATCTAATGAAATTGCGGAATTCTTGTAGTCTTTGTTTCAATAGCCACCGCACGTAATTCTCGATTCCGAGAAAACTTAAATGCCTCGACTTTTGTTTATTGTTTTTGGAATATAACGTAATTGTTCAGTTCCTCTCAAATGAAACGAGAGCTATGTGTACACTTTGAAACTGCAGGCGGTTTAGTTTCACCAAAGTTAATATTTCAAAGAATCCAAATCTATTTTAAACGCTGTTTTTCTTGAATCAGTAAAAGTGAACACCCTTTTAAGTAATCAAAGAAGTGTGTGGTCTGGCGTTATCATGATGAAAGGCTACACCTTTCTTTGATCAATTTTGGCCGTTTTTTCTCAATTTCTTGCCTGAGTCTCATTAATCTTTGGCAGTAGAGATCCGAATCGATGGTTTTGCCCGGCGTCAAAAGCTCATAATAAACACATTACCTTATTGCATCTTAATCAGAGTTTCGCTACAGTTTGTGGAGCTTGACTTATACCCTTTGGAACGTAATCTTTTTCGCACGTTCTTATCTCATTATCAGTAAGCAATATTTTTAAAAATGGTTCGGTTTTATTAAGTTTCAATAGAGAATCGCAAATGAGTACAACCATTCATTAGGTTTCTTTCAGTGAGCTCGCGTGGTACCCAAATATCTAGCTTTTTTTCTATAGCTAGACTTTTTCAATTGGGTTAAAACTGTTTTGTGGTATCTTCAATTTCTCGGCAATGTCGTAATTACTAATATACCGATTTATTTAAAACGGCATCGACTTTATTCGTATGAGGGCGACACGTCCATAAACGTCACAATTCGCATTTCCCCCTTTTTTGTAACAAAACTTCAGTATGTATCGAATTTCTACGTTAGATACACTCATTTTGGTGGACAGAAAAACATTTGACAAATGGCGGGAAAGTGTTTTTTATTTTTTGTGTTTATTTTCTTAATGCCCCATATGTATTGATTTTAAAATCAGCCAGATACAAACAGTACAACCAAACAGATATTTTTCTTTAATTTTATACAAACAAGATAAGAAGAAACTTTTTCCCCGACCTATTACGATACAATCTTACATTCCATTTATGTTTTCAATTCATTTCACATTAAAAAAAATACAATATAAAAAAATATGACAGCGGGTAGCATGGCCTTGTGAAGTCGACAGTAATACTAATACCCAACTGATTCGCATTCAAGATGAGAAACTCTACATAATATAATAAAGAATATAAGGATTATAAAATATAATATTAATTAACTATTCATCATTATTATTCACATTAATTGACGGGTTCTATTTATGAAACAAGATAATATTTGTTTATGATTTATAAATGGTTTAATATAACGGGGAAAATGTGTTGTTATGTTTATATTATTTTGTGGTTTCATTTAATACAAGCTCTGTTTATAGTTAACTAGACATTTCAAATACAATATAATATTTGATTAAATAGACAAATTAAATTATTTTCAGAATTGTAAAATGCAAACACTTATAAATTCCGTAAGATGAGAACTGTCTTTATAGCTAGTGCGTTGTAGGCGATTGAATGTTAAAGTTTTTTAACGCTGTTTACGTAAATATTTTTTGTAAATACTTGTTGAAATAGTTTTTGTTTAGTGTTTAGTATATTTAATTGTAGGATAAAATAGTTAAAAAGTTTTAATGTAATTTAAAAATTATATATATATTATGTATATTACTCATCTATTTGATAAATTTTAATGGCAAAACGTCGTTCCTACTATAATTGTTGCGTGGATAGACGCTAAATTACAAATAAAATGTTTCAGATATATCATTCTTTAAGTTACCGAAGGGTTTTTATTGTTAGATAGGTACTTATAGCAAAAACGAATTAAGTAATAAATTATCTAATACCTACGAACTTTATTACAAAATTTAGTTGATATTTACTTCACTATCAAAGTATCTACTTATATACTTGTCATTTGTATTTAAAAAAATTAAGTTATAACAACACAAAACACGAAAAAACTTTGTTCACTAACAAAAATTTTACTTAAGTGGAATACGATAACATTTCTGTTATGAATCGTATTTCAAGTTTATTTGTTGTTTACACTTTTTCTTCCGAGCCAAGCATCACGATTCCTATCGAATGGCCTTGCATGTTGCATGCATTAGGCATCGTAGAACTCACATAGGCGCGAAAATATGGTCAGTCGATCATAGTCAGAATAGGTATTTCACCTAAGTAACATAATTAACATTTCGTAATATATTTTGTTACTCTTTATTGACATCCCTTAGTAACAACGGAAAGTCCGCCGGGACGTAGGATGGGGAAAACAAAACATGCAAAGTAATACGGACACTCGCGCAGCGATAAAGTTTTATATAGGTTGCAAGAGCGATTTATTATGTTGGCTATTAAACGTCGGCAAGCAGTCAGCATCAAAGTACTGCAACATGTACGTAGTGCTATTATTTATTCTATGATATTGTGTTATTAAATAACTAATATTGTTAATTCACAGTTTACATTACTAAGTACTGATACGTTTATAGATATATACAAACTGAAATCTGTTATTTATTTATCATAATTCAGTGCTTCACTTTTTTAATTTTTAAAGAATACGGGTGACAAACGAGCACAAAGTTTACATTACGATGGTAAGTGAAAGATGTTGCACATAGATCCTCGATTAAGAGGTAAGCGTGTAAACCGACTCACTGATTCGAATCACTGAAATGATTCAAAAGATTGGTGCAGTAACAACGTTTCAAATACATCATTTGGATCTGGAACGAGGCGACTGAGCCGCGAGCGAGAGTAGCGAGTGAGCGGGCGAAATAATTACAATCTATACAAGTCAGAAAAAGATAACAAATGAGAAGTGTCTCACTCAACTCGTACGGATTTTCGCTATAGTTATTCATGCACGTAAAAATCACCACTAAGGCGCTTACGTATCAAATACTATACGGTCATTTTTTGCATATAGTGTTTGCATTAACAAGTTGTCATTTTACGATGTTGATTCGGCACATGTCAAATTGTTTATGTTCGTTCGCGCCTGTTTATGAAAACATACCGAGTTCTGTTTAGGAATTTAGGATTTCTTAGCTTCTTTGCCGAGGCAGGCCGACACGACGTAAACGTATGCAAGGTTTCATATAGTATTTTGTTATGTATTCGTGAATACAATTACTTCGAATAAAACTAATTTTATGGAAATGCGATAATTATTAAGAAGTTAAAATCAAAAGTGAAGAAATAAACATTTCATCAAGTTTTTCTATTTCAAACAATAAAACGCCTGAAAAACTGATATGCTTATTTTATAACTTGTTTCGATCCCAAAAAATTGTGTTAAATTGATTGCTAATCCACCACCGTGTGATTTACTAGGAATTTAATATTAATCATATTATTATTGTATTTGTTTATTCTATATTATAAACTAAAAGCAGAATGGTTGCAGAAGTACAATATAGCATATGGTATTGTGTAATCTTATAAGTTTGAAAGTGACTTCTTACAAACAACTTTTGCGTTCCATTATGCGGACAACCTCCGTAAGCCGGTAACAATTAACAGCAGATTTACCACGAGATTATCGGTGAAGAAAAATATCGTGAGTTCGTTAGGATAAAATATTTTGATGATATCTGAAGTCTGCTAAAACACAATAAAGCAGCGCGCGAACCTTTTGCGCCTTACCTTACCAAATCATGCTCATACTGCTGTGTTCCTGTCTGAAGGGTATGGAGATCCCATAATTATAGGTTGTAAACTTTTTATATCAGTCCTCGGAGGTGACTACCCATCTGTAGCCTTCTTTATCGGTTGCAGATGTTCATGGGCTGCTTACTATCAGGTTACTTCAGTTTTATACATAAAAAAACGGGACGATTGACAACGCAAGTCACAGTTAGTTATTTTTACAGGAATACAGTATTAACACAAAGCACACATATGTCAGGTTTTCTGATTAAATTAGGGCCAACCGATTGCACTTATCCTTTCTATTAGGAATTTAGTACTGCCAATATGTGATAGTGATGCTTTTATGAACATTCATATGTTGAAATGGACGGCGATGAACGTTTTTGCTGGCACTTAACAAGAAATGTATAGTAAATGAATAAAAGAGAGTACATTTTATCTCAAGGGAGCAAAATTACGAGGAGATCCAGATGCGTCCTTTGTTTTTATACAAAGTCAGTAAAATCTGTTATTTTAAAAAACTGGATTCAGAGTTCATAACGAACAAAAACTAGCGCAACATAACAATTTTAGTACGTTTTAAAAAGAAAAAATATACATTTTACAAATTGTAGGCAATATATAAATAATAATAATTTAATATACATACACATAAATACATTATTAATAGGAAAAGAATATTATAATAGCATTATAAAATGATAATACATAAATAGTTTCATACCATTTCATTGGTACACCAATTACACACGCGGACTACTTTAGTAGACCCACGCTTTTGGAGCCAAATTGCTTGTGCATGCGTACGCGCTGGGTTCGTTCGGGATACTGAGGTTGAGACAAATATACCAGACGAGGCTTACCTGGAATCACTAGCTTTTAGCCCTTTAAATTAAAAAGTTATTGCGAAAAGAGTTCCTCTGGTCTATTATAGTAAGCCGCGCGTGTACTCCAGTGGTTAAACTCACGATACTGGATGCTTGGCGGTCCAACACTGTGCGTTTTACTAGAAGTTTTCTTACAACCTCTCTGTGGAATTGTTTACCAGCGGCGATTTTTCCGGATCGATACGACTTAAGGCCCTTCAAGAAAAGACCTTATTTCTTTCTAAAAGGCCGGCAACGCACCTGCCGTTTCCCTAATGTTGCAGTTGCTCATGGGCGGCGGTAGTCACTTACCATCAGGTGAGCCGCATGATTGTTTGCCCCCTCTTCTATAAAAAGACAACCACTTTTTTGCTCCATGTAATAAAAATAGGTAAAAAATAAAAAAGGCTATTTTTTGTGTTCTGAAACTTACTCAAATGCCTAGACCACACACTTCGAAAAGCATTCTTCTGTCCGTCAAATTCTGTCGCGTCACACGCTTAAGGCGCACATTACACGATCATGCAGGCTGTCAGTTTTACAACAATCACGGTTGTGATTGACGAATAACCTATCGTGTAATGCAGTGATTGACGTCTGCATGTAATGTACGCATATTCAATAATCATCCATTTTTTATCGATCATGATTGATGGAATTGTTTGATGTCTGCATGAGCGTGTAATGTACACCTTATAATTCTTGGTGCTCTGATCTCTATTTTTATTTTATTTGACGATTATTGATCATAAGCACTGTATTTTATCACTTATGTTTTATTTTTTCTTATTATTTATCTATAATGTTTAATTATCAAAACATGTGTTTGGCAACTGCCCGTGAGTTGCAGGCTTTTAAGTATGACACCAGCAGAATATCAGCGCTGTGGTTATCCCACTGCAGCATAAAGCTGAGTCGTCTCGAATGGCTTATTTGTTGCTGCAATTTTTATTCTTTAAAATAAACATGTATATATATCTAATTTTGTAGCATCAAATAATGTTGTTTGTCTGTTTTCTTTCAGTTACATCTGCCGCGACGGCACGACGCGGCGCTGGATGTGCCACGGGTTCCTCGCGTCGCGGGACAGCGGCGAGCGGCTCTCGCACGCGGTGGGCTGTGCGTTCGCCGCGTGCTTGGAGCGCAAACAACGTCGCGACAAAGAGTGCGCTGTCTCTATGAGCATAGACGCCGCCAGTCACGCCTTCACTCGTCAGGGCTCCTTCCGTAAATCAGGTCAATAATATAGAGCGTTTCTAAATGATTATAAATTTATGTTCCATTTGTTGAAAAACACGAAACTCTTGTAAATCCGGAATTATATCCAGACTCTTTCGTTTTAGCATGTCTTTTATATTAAGAAATAATAATAATTTGATATTAACAAATAATAAAAATCCCTTGACCTTCACACGGGATTTTAGAGCGTTTGTAAGACTACTTTTTGCAGCTACTTCAGCAGCAAATTTTTCATAACTACTCAAAATTAATAACAAAATTGCGGTTGCCAACCCGTCTGCCAAACGTTATGACTATGGCAAACATCTACAATGAAGCAATCTTCTATGTTCAGCATAGGAAAGTTTGGTGGGCCATAATAAAATAATATAAAATGAAGTATATCGATTGCAGTGATAACGCGTCGCGCGTCGGAGGCGGACACGCCACTATCGGGCGTGACGGGCGTGACAAGTGTGACAAGTGTGACGAGCGTGACGGGCGCGGGGGTGACGGGCGCGCGGCCGCACAACCCGTTCGCGGTGGAGCGCCCGCACGCCGCGCCGCACCTGCTCGAGCGGCAGGGCTCCTTCCGCGGCTTCGCTCACCTTAACAACAGGTAAACTAGTCGCCACCACCACTGCTATCGTTTAACTCGGCCGGTAAGCCTTTGCCGCTGTCGATCATTTTACAACTGCGCTATGTTTTTTATTATGTATTATTGCCTATTAAATGTAATTTGTCGTCAAAAAAAGGTAATAAAAAAAACGTTTTTATTTCTGTGATACCAACTCACCTGTTTAACATAGTAAATAAGAACAAATCGAACATGAAATGCATGTTAATGTGCGTCTTTGTGAGATTAGAATGTCTCTCCAGCACCTTAAAAACGGCAAGTCCCCGGGCAAGAATGAAACGACAGCAGAGCCTCTATTTCATTCCATGCTCCAAGGTGGCATTACTCTGAAGGCGTGGAGCAGTAGTGCGCTGGTGTTGTTCTTCAAGAAAGGTGTTAACGCTTTCTTTAAGAACTACAAACCGATTTCCCTTCTGAGCCTCGTCTACGTGCTAGTTTCGAGAGCCATTACGAATCGTCTCGCACGCAGACTCAACGACTTCCAGTTTCCCGAACAAGCCGGTTTTCGAAAAGGCTTTAGCAACATGGTCTATGTTGCTAAAGCCTTTTCGAAAACATTATATACCTTCGGCTAATTGTACAGAAGTCCGAAGATCTTGCGTATGTGGGCTATGAGAAAGCCTTTGATTCCGTCGAAATTTGGGCGGTGCTGCAGTCCCTTCAGCGGTGCCAAATTGACTGTCGATATATCGAAGTGCTGAAGTGTTTGTACAGTATTGCTACGATGGCTATCCGAGTACAGAAGCTCAATACGAAACCTATCCAACTTCAGAGAGGTGTAAGACAGGGTGACGTTATATCACCGAAACACTTCACCGTTGCATTGGGAGACATTTTCAAGCTACTGGACTGGAAAGGATACGGTATTAATATCAATGGCGAGTACATCACGCGCCTTTGATTTGACAATGATGTAGTCCTTATGGCAAGATCGGTAGAGGAGCTAAGCCCTATCATGTGCTCAACCACCTCAATAATGCCTTCCAACGGACAGGTCTTAAGATGAACATGGTCAAAACAAATATCATGTGTAACGTACATGTCACACCTATGCTACGAGGGCTGCACTAAAAGTATCGGGAATGGAATATTTCCACTGTTCCTGTCATATTAAAATCTTTTTAATTGAAAACTCGTTGGTTTTAAAAATCGAATACCATTTATTTATTTAAAAAAAGATTCTCGGTCTTGTCACAAGGTTTTGTCAAACTTGTTTAGTCGTTGAGAAAATGGAATTGACTCGAGAAAATTCAAGAGCGATAATTTATTATGACTTTCGAAGTGGTTTAACACAAAAATAGTGTGTTGACCGGATGATTTCTGCATTTGGTGATGAAGCCCCACCCAAAACCACAATTAATCGCTGGTTTGCTGAATTTCAACGTGGACGTGTCAAGCTCAGTGATGATCCCCGTCAAGGTCGTCCAAAAACTGCAGTCACCGAAGAAAACGTGTGCGTAAGCTGATTGAGGAAGATCGACATGTGACATACCGCGAAATTCAGGCAACTTTAGACTTTGGCATGAGTTAAATACAAATAATCTCGCATGAACAATTAGGTGTAAAAAAGTTGTTTTCCCGATGGATACCGCCTTCGCTTTGTGAAGAGCAAAAAGCGGCTCGCGTTACTTGGTGCGTCAGAACTCTCAAAAGATTCCACGCAGGATCCTCAAATGCTGTATACAACATCGTATCATATGACGAATCCTGGATATACGCGTACGAACCCGAAACAAAAAACTAGTCACGAGTTTTGGTGGCCACGTTTGTCTCCAAAACCGGCCATGTTACGACTATTCCTCTTGAGGGACAAAGAACGGTTAATGCAGAATGGTATGCTAGCATTTGTTTGCCACAAGTCGTTTCTGAACTCCGTAAAGAGTACTGCAACCGCCGCATCATCCTCCATCACGACAACGCGAGTTCTCACACCGCACACAGAACAAACGAGTATTTAGAGCAAGAAAACATAGAATTATTAGACCATCCGCCGTACAGCCCCGACCTAAGCCCTAATGATTTTTATACTTTCCCTAAAATAAAGAATAAATTGCGTGGACAGAGATTTTCATCACCTGAAGAAGCTGTGGACGCCTACGAAACGGCCATTTTGGAGACCCCAACTTCCGAATGGAATGGTTGCTGTGCCGGACGGGCGAAACTCTCCGTAGTAAATGTTGTCGAAGATACTTCGCGAGTCGCTCACGTCCTACACCTATAGGTTCCGGTGGGTACTCTCACCGCCGTCTTTGTTGGTGCCGCTGAAATATTGTGGACTGTAGTTAAAATCAAAATGCACGATTAACAAATACAAATAGCAAGGTAGTGGCCAGCGGTTCGAATGATTGATTAGTCGCGAAATTTTATAACTATTTATCACGGTTGTTCACTGTATATTTCAAAAGATTTCTTTAAATTGTACGGTGGTATCAAATATCTATTGGTAGTAGCTGGTTTTCTAACACTACTGACTAGCAGCTATTATCAACTAAACTAGTTGATTTTATCACTTGTGTAACTGCGGATATCAGTTACCACTTTCACTATATGTAACTGCGAATATCAGTTACGACCTTTTTTAGGCTAGCTAACACTTTCACTATTTGTAACTGCGAATATCAGTTACGACCTTTTTAGGCTAGGTAACACTTTCACTATGTAACTGCGAATATCAGTTACGACCTTTATAGGCTAGCTAACACTTTCACTATTCACTATATACTGCTACTAGTCACTTCAGCTACCACCGGATACCACTCACTTCACTTCACTGGTCACTGGTAGTTCTTCACACTACTACTGTTACTGGGCCCCGAGCCCCTAAGGTAGACTTTAGCAATACTTTACACTGAGCCGCTTGCCATTTTCCGTTTTGCCTCTTTATTGCATAAACATTTCACTATACGAATGGCATAAATTGCAATATTCTCTATACAAACTAATTGCTACACTAGCATGTTATACATCATTAAATCGGTAGTCTGGTACTTTATTAGTATATCATAAAGGTTCCTCAAAACATTAACATTGTAAAAAGTTATTAAACGAAATGTCCCAAATTTTCATAATATTTGGGTATTTTAATTCTTTAATTTTTCTATAACTACGAAATGCGTTTAATTATAAAAAAATATTCCTATACTTCTTTAATCTATAAGCCATATGCTAATTAAATGTCATATTTATAACTCTTTTAGGACATAAAATTATTTTCATTATTTTTAGTATAATCTATTACGCAGTTAATTAAAAAAACTTCTAGCGAGTTCTACGATAAGACGCGCTGTGATTAGTCGATTTTTTGGTATATAATAAAAGTTGTTTATATTACTTGTTATCAAAACGACATTCTATACAAACATATTGAGAGTTATAAATATGCTAAATAACTATATTAATACACGTTTTTAGTCAGTTTTATCGGTAATTTCATTATTAATACAAAAAACAATATTCTTTATCACTTTGTTTCTTAAGGTTGTTAGGCCGTCGCGAACATCTCTCCCGCCGTGCAGCGTCGCGATTTTCTCACAGCGGCGCTGCATCCATTTCGGTGAGCGACGTTGCTTCTACTTTGGCAGCGGCACGAGTTTCCTGGTTGGCCTCTTGATTAGGCCGTTTGCTGTGCGTACCTCCACAGTGCGGATCTGTCCGTCCGCACCGGGGTAAACAGCTTCCACCCTCCCCTCGTGGCCAGGTGTTACGAGGTAACTGGCCGTCAGCTATGAGGACTGGATCGCCCACCTGGAGATTGGGACCTCGCCCATGGGCCTCCCGCCGGTTTTGAAGTTCCGGTAAATATTCTCGGACCCAACGCTGCCAGAACATGTCAGCGAGTATCTGGGAGCGTCGCCAGTGTCTTTTGCTATTCATATCTTTTTCATCAAATACTCCAGGTGTCGGCAGTCTCGCAGATCCTCCTAAAAGGAAGTGATTTGGAGTGATGGCTTCGTCGTCGTCGCTGTTTACAGAGATGTGAGTCAATGGTCTGCTATTTACTGTGTACTCCACCTCGCAGAGCAGCGTGGCTAATACTTCCTCATGCGGATGTCTCTCATGAAGGACGGTGTATAGTGCTGTCTTCACGCATCGTATGAGACGTTCCCATACTCCTCCCATGAAAGGCGCGGAGGGGGGTTATAAAACGCCACACTATGCCTCGTCTACTGGCTTCTTCTCGAAAAGCCTCCCGAAGTTCCTTGTCTGCACCGTGCATGTTGGTGCCATTGTCGGAGTAAATCTAGGTGGGGCACCCTCGGCGAGCTGCGAATCTTCTTAATGCTAGTATTGCGGAGTCAGCGCTGAGGTTTGCGACAACTTCTAAGTGGACAGCTCTGGATGTGAGGCAGGTGAAGAGAGCTACGTATCTCTTCTGATGTTGACGTCCCACAGTGACTGAAAGTGGCCCAAAATAGTCCAGACCGGTGAAGGTGAACGGTCTCTGGTGATGAGCGAGACGTGTACTAGGATGGTCACCGGTCGCTGGCACTGATGGTTGTGCTTTTCTGATGCGACACTGTGTGCATTGGCTCACTATCTTTTTCGTAGTGGGTCGAAGTCGGATCACCCAGTAGTGCTGTCGAACCTCGTTGATGGTAGGTTCGGTTCCGCAATGATGCAGGCTACGGTGCGTCCAGTCAATATATAATTGTGTGATGTAATGATCACCATCCAATATAGCTGGCCCCTTCATGTCTTCTCTGACTCCCTTCACGGCGGCTATGCGACTTCGTAGCGCGATGATCCCGTCTTTCAATTCTATTTGGAGCGGTCGTAGGCGGCTATCATGAGCGACCTTTTTATTATTACGGAGATCAGTTATCTCTTGTGAGAAGGAGCCCTCCTGTATGGCACGTATCAGGAGCTTTTCGGCCTCTCTGATGAATTCGGCCTCTAGTGTGATGTACCTTTTGACATCTCTATTTTTCACTTGACTGGGAGGCTGCGCGATTTGTCGCGGATTATTTTTCGATTTCCTCCAG